CAGAAGAAAATGTTGAAGTAAAAGAGCTGAACAGAAGATTTCCAAGGGCAGCTCAAAAAGACAAAGTATTATGAAAAAGACAAAGTATTATGAAAGACCTGGAGTTAGTAAACCAAAAGGGAAGAACACGCTTGGCATTTCTCAAGCTGAAAGAACTGAATAAAAAATTCAAGCCTCGAGTTGCAATATTGAAGGATTCTACGGGAAAAATATTGAACGACATAGAAAGCATGAAAAGAAGATGGAAGGAATACACAGAGTCACTGTACCAAAAAGAGTTGGTTGAGGTTCAGCCATTTCAGGAGGTAGCATATGATCAGGAACCAATGGTGCTGAAGGAAGAGGTCCAAGCTGCACTGAAAGGAATGGCAAAAAACATGCCTCCAGGAATTGATGGAATACCAATTGAGATGTTACAAGAGGCAGTCATTTGAACAGAAGAAGGGACACTGCATTGTTTAAAGTCAGGAAAGGTGTGTGTCAGGGTTGTATCCTCTCACCATACTTACTCAACATGTATGCTGAGCAAATAATCCGAGAAGCTGGACTATATGTAGAATGTGGCATCAAGTTTGGAGGAAGACTTATTAACAACCTGCAGTATGCAGATGACACAACCTTGCTGGCTGAAAGTGAAGAGGACTTGAAGCACTTACTATTGAAGATCAAAGATCACAGCCTTCAGTATGGATTGTATCTCAACATAAAGAAACAAAAAATCCTCACAACTGGACCAGTAAACAACATGATAAATGGAGAAAAGACTGAAGTTGTCAAGGATTTCATTTACTTGGACTCACAATTAACACCCATGGAAGCAGCAGTCAGTAAATCGAACGATGCATTGCATTGGGCAAATCTGCTGCAAAAGACCTCTTTAATGTGTTCAAAAACAAAGATGTCACCTTGAGGACTAAGGTGTGCCTGACCGAAGCCATAGTATTTTCAGTTGCCTCAGGTGCATGTGAAAGCTGGGCATGAATAAGGAAGACCGAAGAAGAATTGATGCCTTTAATTATGGTGTTAGCAAGGGATATTGAAAATACTATGAACTGCTAGAAGAACGAGCAGGTCTGTCTTGGAAGAAGTACAGCCAGAATGTTCCTTAGAAGAAAGGATGGTGAGACTTCATCTCATGTACTTTGGACGTGTTTTCAGGAGTGACCAGTCCCTGGAGAAGGACGTTATGCTTGGTAAAGTGGAGGGTCAGTGAAAAAGGGTAAGACCCTCAATTAAATGAATTGACATAGTGAAACAATGGGCTTAAACATAGCAGCAATTGTGAGGATGGCATAGGACCGGGCAGTGTTTTGTTCTGTTGTGCATGGGGTCACTATGGATCGGAACTGACGCCATGGCACCTGAGAACAGCAACATGTCTCATAAATAATGACACAAAAAATCCCAACAAAATTCTAGCCAACAGAATTTAACATTTCAAAAAAATCATACGCCATGATCAGGTGGGAATCAGACCAGGAACGTAAGGCTATTTCAACATTAGAAAATCAATCAATGTAATACACCACGTAAATGAAGGAAGAGAACCACATGATCAAATCAATTGATGCAGAAAAGGCATTTGAAAAAATCCAGCACCCTTTCCTGATAAAAACTCAATGAAAGAGGAATAGAAGGGAAATTCCTCAACATAATTAAGGGCATATATTCAAAACCAGCAACCAAGATTGTTCTCAATGGAGAAAGACTGACAGTCTTCCCTTTGAGAACAGGAATGAGGCAAGAATGCCCGTTATCACCACTCTTAGTCAGTATTGTACTGGAAGTCCTAGCCAGAGCCATAACGCAAGAAAGGGAAATAAAGGTATCCAAATCAGAAAGGAAGAAGTAAAACTATTTGAAGATGATGTGATCCTATACATAGAAAATCTCAGAGATTCCACAAGAAAGCTCCTGGACTAATAGAGAAATTCAGTAACACACAAAAGTAAGTTGGATTCCTCTACACTAACAAGGAGAACTCCAAAAAGAAAATCAAGAAAACAGTACCTTTACAATGGCCCCCACCAAGTGATAAAACACCTAGGAATAAGCCTAACCAGGGATGTAAAAGACCGATACAGTGAAAGCTATAAAACACTGCTACAAGAGACTAAAAGAGACCTATATAAAAGGAAGAACATTTCATACTCATGGATTGGAAGACCTAACATTGTGAAAATGTCAGTACTTCCCAAAGTGATCTACAGATACAATGCAATCCCGATCCAAATTCCAGCATCATTCTTTACCAAAGTGGAAGAACTAATTACCAATTTTATATGGAAAAGAAAGAGGCCCCAAGTAGCCAAAACAATATTGAAGAACAAAGTAGGAGGCCTCACATTCCCTTTCCTCAAAACCTACTATACAGCCACAGTAATCAAAACAGCCTGATTCTGGTTTAATGATAGACACATAGACTAGTGGAATTGAATTGGGAACACAGAAATAAATGCATTCATCTATGGACAAATGATTTTTGACAAGGGATTGAAGTCCATTCAGTGAGGAAGAAAAGCGATACTCACAAAACTGGATATCCATTTGCAGAAGAATGAAACAGGATTCATACCTTATACCATGCAAAAAAACTGACTCAAAATGGATCAAAGACCTAAATGTGAAAGCTAAAACTATAAAGTTCCTGGAAGATAACACAGGGACAAAACTATGGGACCTAGTTTTTTTCAAAAATAGGTTATCAAACAATTACAAATGTACAAACAGCGGAAGACAAATTAGGTAACTGGGACCTGGTAAAAATTAAATACTTACGCCCATCAAAAGACTTTATCAAATGAACAAAAAGCAACATACAGACTGGGAAAAAATATGAATGACATATCCAGTAAGGGTCTAATCTCTAAAATATATAGAAAACTTTAACAACTCAACAACAAAAAGACAAACAACTCGGTAAAAAAGGGCAAAGGACGTGAACAGACACTTCACCAAAGACAACATTCAGGTGGCCAACAAATACGTGAAAAGATGCTCACAATCATTTGCCATTAAGAGATGTAAGTTAAAAAACTACAGTGAGATACCCTCTCACTGTTGCTAAAATGGCACTGATTAAAAACAACAACAGCAAATGCTGGTGAGGATGTAGGGAGATTGAAACCGTTATTTATTGCTGATGGGATTGAAAAATGGTACAGCGACTATGGAAAACGACATGGTGCTTCCTCAAAAAACTAGAAATAGAAATACCTTATGATCCAGCATCACAGTCCTAGGTCTATATCCCAGACATTTAATAAAAGAGACACAGACAGACCTATTCACACCTATGTTCATTGAAGGACTATTCATAATAACAAAAAGATGGAAACAACCTAAGTGCCCATCAATGAATGAATGGATAAATAAAATGTGGTACATACATACAATGGAATAGTGTGGAGCCCTGAAGAAAAATGATGAGTTATCAAAACATAATGTGGATGAATCTGGAGGACATTATGCTGAATGAAATAAGTCAGTCACAAAAGGACAAATATATGATCACGCTTTTATAAGAAGACAAGACCAGGTGTGTGTGTGTGTGTGTATATGTGTGTATGTGTATATATGTATGTCTCTACGTGTGTGTATGTGTATATATATGTCTCTACGTGTGTGTGTATATATATATATGTATGTGTATATATATGTATATGTATGTGTGTATATGTGTGTGTGTGTTTATATATATTTATGCGTTTGTTGGTGGTTACCAAGATCGGGGGTGGGGGGTGGGGGTGGGGATCACTCTCTAGATAGTAGACACTTGTTATTTTTGGTAATGGGAAAGGTAGCACCGAATGTGGGTGAAGTGCATGCAGCTTGACCAGGGTAAACGATGCCACTAAGAACTACAGAAGAGAAAGGGACATTTTTGGTAAAGGATAAGAAATAAAATTTTGCAACAACATGAAGAACAACCCAAAAAAAAAAAAAATAGTGTGTGGTCACATATGTATGTGTATATGTGTATATGTGTAAGGGTATATATACATATGTGTACATATGTATACATATATAGATGTATCTACATGTATATGTATATACAGGTATGTGTGTACATGCACATATATTCATAGGGGCATAGTTACAGATACTTCTGAGGAATAACTAAGCACCTCATGGGATTGGTTTTCTGGGTTTGAAAGCTTAGGACCACAGTCTCATGGGACAACTTGGTTAATTGGCATAATATAGTTCATAAAGTTTATGTTCTACCTCCTAGTTTGGTGAGTAGTGTCTGAGGTCTTAAAGGCTTGAGAACAGCCATCTAAGATACACCTGTCGGTCTCTAATCATCCAGAACAAAAGAGAAGGAAACCAAAGATTCAGGGAAGAAACTAATCTGCAGGACTTAATACTCTACATGAACCATCTATCTTTGAGACCAGAAGAACTAGATGGTGCCCGGCTACCACTACCAGCCGTTCTGATCAGAGCCACAATAGATGGATCCTGATAGAATGAGAGAAAAATGTGCAACAGAACTCACGTTCTTAAAAAGTATAGACTTGCTGGACTGGTTGAGATTGAAGGACTCCTCAAGACTTATCCTGAGATACTCTTTAAACCTTGAACAGAAACTATCCCTTGAGGTTACCTTTTAGCTAAACAACAGAGTGGTTCATAAAATAAAAAATATAACTCGTGATTACTCTAAAAAAATCATCTATATGAGACCACATGGTTAACAATTACCCTAAAGCAAAGATGAGAAGATAAGAGGGCAGGGAAACTAGATTACTGGAATGGGAACAAACAGAAGGGAATTAATGAGAATATTGACACATTGTAAAAAATGTAACCAATGTCACTGAATAATTTGTGTAGAAATTGTTAAATGGGAACCTCAGCTGCTGTGTAAACCCTCACCAAAAACACAATAAGATACTATGTTTAAAAAACTGTTTGTTTTTTGTAAAAAAAAATTAACCTTTTGCAATCATTTTGCATACAAAAGAACAGCGTATAGTAAGTTCTTTCCACTGCAGAGGGAGAGAGACTGGATGCCAAAATGAAGAGACTCGAATCAAAGTATGCCCCACTGCACCTTGTTCCTCTGATTGAGAGACTGGGGACCCCTCAGGTAGGTGTGCTCTGATGCCATTGCTGTTGCCAGCCTGGGCAAGCAGGACCAGGCTGTGTGGGAGAGCTTCAGAGCACAGGCCGTGAGCGAGGCTGCCCTGACTGGGAGCCTGTGTGAGGTTAGTCAGCTTAACGAAATCGCTCGTGCCTCTGTGCCTGTGGGGATCCCACAGGGTTCCTAGTAGGACCTCTTCATGGGTGCTTGTGCAGTTTTAACGAGCCAGTATGTGGAAAGGGCTTACACATCACCTGGTACTTAAGACATGCATAGTGTCAGTTGTTGTCATCGTCCACCTGGCTTTTCACAGCCATTGGGTGTTTGTGCAATAGGAGGAGGTGTGTCGGGGTAGAGTTCTATGAATCTCTATCAGCTTAGGCTAGATCAGGGTTTCCCAGTCTCGGCGTGGTTCTGTATTGTGGGAGGCCGTCCTCGGCACTGGAAGATGTTGAGCAGCATGCCTGGCCTCCACCCACTAGATGCCAGTAGCACTTCCTCCTATAGTTCTGATGACCAAAAATGTCTGCAGACATTGCCTCATGTCCTCTGGGGGATAAAAATTGCTCCTGGTTAAGAACACCTGCACTGTATCGTTTCCCTTGACTGTGAAATATACTTAGTTTTGTAAGATATAGAGGTCACTGCTGACATACTCATTTTGTGAGATGCTCTTCTGCAAGCTGACATATTTTTCCATTAAGTCATAAACAAAGCAATAGTAGCACTCCAGCTTCCTGCCGTGACCCATAATTTTCCACCATTTTTCCTTTCTGCAGCAAATTGCAATAGCAAGAGAGGGGGACTTGCTGACAAAAGAGCGCCTCTGCTGTGGCCTGTCTATGTTTGAAGTCATCCTGACTCGGGTTCGGACCTTTCTGGATGACCCCATCTGGCGTGGGCCTCTTCCTAGCAATGGGGTCATGCATGTGGATGAGTGTGTTGAGTTTCACAGGCTTTGGAGTGCCATGCAGTTTGTCTACTGCATTCCCGTGGGAACACACGAGTTTACGGTTGAGTAAGTGTGTGCTTAGTCTTACACTTTGGAGCAGGATAAAGTTCCAGTGGAGGTAGAGGAGCTGCTGGGGGTTGGGGGGAATGGAAGCTGGTGTTAGGTAAACACAGAAGACTGCGTTCCTCTGGAAATGGATGAAAAACTTACTGAGCTGGCCCAGCTGCTTTAATGCCGTTTAAGTGGGATTTCTTACTTGATGCCAAAGAGGTGACTCAGGACCAGGCTTCAGGCAGCCTCTGAACACATCAAAACTGTATGCAAACTAGATGTGTATTTTTCTGGGGAGAAGGTCCATAACTTCATGAAGTCGTTCTTCATGGAGAGACTCCTATTTGAAAAAGTTTAGGAAATAGTATACCAGAGGAACCCAAGAAAGGTGTTCAGCAGAAACAGGGAAGTCATCTGCTGCTCAGTATTCTCTGCATGACCCATGCCCAGCTGGCTGTGGAAGCGGAGCCAGTGTGGGCAGTGACACACATGACTCGGTTAGTGATGTCTGGGGATGGACTCATGAAAGACTTCATAATTGTTTATTCATCTCCCATTTCCCTATTATTACTCCTTGTTTGTAGGCAGTGTTTTGGTGATGGGCTCCACTGGGCTGGCTGTATGATCATTGTACTTCTTGGGCAACAGCGACGCTTTGCTGTACTGGATTTCTGCTACCATCTCCTTAAAGTCCAGAAGCATGATGGCAAAGATGAGATTATAAAAAATGTGGTAGGTGGAAGAAAATCTTATGTGGAAGTTTCACAAAAGCATACTTTTTATTTATTAAAAATGTTTTTCTTGGGAATAGTTTTTATCCCAGTAGATAAGGTACCACCAGCTGAAGCTTCTTTTTATTGCCAAAATGAATCTAATAGAATTGGGAAGTAAAGCTGTCTGGCTGTTAAAATACTTATTGTCCCTTTTCCTTTTCTTTCCAAGGTACGTGAGAGGGTCAAGTCCCTCTCATGCTTCTAATCATTCGACTTTCCTTTCTGCCCCATCTCTCCTGCCTCCAGATGGAGAAGGTTCCCTGCTCATATGATTAGATTGGATCCGCTGGTATAACCCAGGATACTCTCCTTAGTTTTAAGGTCCATAACCTTAATCACATCTGAAGGTTGTGGACATCTTTGGGGACCATTCTACCTCCTTCAGCTGTCATATTTTCCATTTTCTTGGCTCTCTGGACTGAAATCAGAGCCCTTTCTTCACTTTATCTTTCATTCACTTTAGCTGTGTCTGATCTACTGCAGTTTTACAAATTTCAAGCATTAGTTTATTTCTAGAAGTTTGATTTGGTTCTTCAGATCAGAGTTGTTGATGTTGCATGCCATCGATCACAAATCACAATGACCTTGTATGATGGAGTAGAGCTGCCCATAGGGTTTCGTAGGGGGAACTCTTCACAGGAGCAGATCCCCAGGTTTCTCCCATGGAGCCACTGGTGGGTTCAAAGCACCAACCTTTTGGTTAGCAGCCAAGAGTTTAACCGTCGTGCCACCAGAACTTTCAGATCTGAGTAGTAGTTGATAATTTTTTCTTTTTCATTGAATTTTTAAAATTTCTTTCCACATTTTATATTTTCTATCTTACAGTTCTAGTATCTGAAGGTGCAAGGCGTGGAACCCCTTTGCAGTAAACATTGTGGCTTTTGGTTGTGGTTCCTAAGAGCAGAAGCACACCTGAGGCCAATGAGTGGGGGATTACCAGATCAAGAGGGACCACTTGGGGGCCCGATGCAGACTCAGCCTCAGGAGGCATGATGTTATCAGGGCCAAATGGTGAGGCCAGTAAAGAAAGGCTTAGTGGGCGGAGCTTCCAGATGGAGAGAGCTCCTCTGCTCATGGGAGAGTAAGCATGTCCCCATCCTGGACTTTGCTCTGTGTGTTTGTATCCTTTTTTCTGCTAGATCAAAGATGGCCCTTTCCCTGCAGTTTGTAAGTTGTTTCAATGAATTAGAATTATCATATCTAAGAAACAGAGGAGGGGCAGACACCCACTGACCTAGCCCCAGGTGAATGGGGATGAGAGGGCTGCATGGAGCAGCTGGAGTCTGGACTGACCAGAGAAGGGAAGCTGAGATTGCTACAGGATCCAGTTGGTGTGTGGAGTAGGATGTATTATCCACCACACCTTTGGCGGCAGAAACGAATGACCCCGGACTGGTATGGCACTGATTTGCAGAAGGCCTTCAGGGTATCTGAGTCTCTTATTCCTGTTCTGAAATGTTTCCTATACATTAGGATTATTCGCAAGCTCTTACTTGAACTGCTTTCCTTCCAAGATTTACATTTGTTTCTGCTCATCTCCAGGGGCTGTTATCAACCTGGGACCACTTTAGCTTAACTTAGAGGGTCCTGGCTTCATGGAGGAGTCTCCAGGTTGCTTACAGCCCAGGCTCAGTCTCCTCACCCCACTGCTGCTGTTGCTATCTACCCTAGAGGAACCTCTGACTTCTGCTTTACCTCCTCCTGCATAGGCAGAGCCAGCAATGCTTTTAGAAGTTTTTTCTGTTTTCTTTTGTGTATGTTCTTTATCCAAATCTAGCAGAAGGGTTTGTCAAAGCATCCTGTCCGTAATTCCAAACTGAAAGTCTAAGACTTGTGTTAATATTCATTCACTGGTCTTTCCCCATTGACCGTATCAGCTTCACCTTTGTACTCCCAGCTTTCAGTACACCAAAACCAAAAAACCCCGTTGCCTTCAAGTTGATTCCGACTCATGGCAACAGAGTAGAACTGCCCCCGTAGGTTTTTCCAAGGTGGATTCAAACTGCAGACCTTTTGGTCAGCAGCCTTAGCTCTTAACCACTGTGCTGCCAGGGCTCCCCTTTAGGACACAGTAGGTTCTGAATACCTGTTTGGTGAATGAATAGATCTGTAAGTTATCTAAATGACTGTATCTGTTAGTAGCAGGAAACCCACAAAGAAATTTGTTTATTTTCAAACTACTGTCTCAGTAATTGCATTGAAGAGACGGTATGTGTCAGTACTATTTGGTTCAAGTTATTCCTAAGAAAATGAAAATCCTGACATTTGAAACACAAGCAATAAATGCACATTTTAAAATTAATACATTTTAATTGTAGCCTTTGAAGAAGATGGTGGAGAGAATTCGCAAGTTCCAGATTCTAAATGATGAAATTATCAATATCTTGGACAAGTACCTGAAGGCAGGAGACGGGGAAAGCACACCTGTGGAGCACGTACGCTGCTTCCAGCCCCCTATCCACCAGTCTCTGGCCAGCAGCTGAGTGACATCAGTGTCCCGGTTAGGACTACCAGTACCAGCTGGATTTAATGTAACAGCGTTTTCTTTCAGTGAACGACTGAGATTTTTTAAGGGACTGCTTTTCGTATTCCTCTGCCTGTAAAAGGGGTGCTTTTCAATCTAAAAGCTTAATTTTATAAAATTGACTTATTTTTTTAGACTAAAATTGTATATGCTTTTGGTAATTAGAAAGTCTTAGAAAATTGGCTGCTGATTGTTGCCATCATGTTCTTAACAAAATTCTTTTTTCCCTGTGGATTGTGCCAGTAGCTATCAATGTCGAAAATGCTGCTGAGCTCATTTAGTTACGCCTCAGCAGAGGGTCAGTAACGTTGAGAGACTTCAACTGAGACTCAGACATCTAGGGCTTAAGTGAGACACTACCGCTAACTAATAAAATCCTTAACTAGATTAAACTTAATGATTATTTTGCTTTTGCTTAGGGATTTTTCTGATGTCTTTTATGAATAATCTTTTCTAAGTCATTGTTCCCTCTTTTGCCAGTATTTCAGAAAAGTGACCTTGAGTTTTGCCCCAAGTCGTCGTTACAAAATAAAGGTTGTGAGGCATGACTTAAAGGTTATAGAAATAAAACTAATGAAACCTATTTGTTCGTTCATTTACTATAATCCCAGACTTCTTGCACCTTCATTTGTCAGAATTCACAGGCTGGGCCTGGGGTCTCAGGACGAGATAACACGATTTGACGACAGCACTCGCCTCACCTACACGCACTTTTTAGCCTTACACTGAGGTTTCCAGGGGGATGAAATGAAAGCCATGTAATGAGATTTGGCCAAAAGCTCAATTTAGACAAAAGCCGTGCTGGGTTGCCCGTTTCTGGTTGTGAAGCTGAGGTCAGCAGCGTGAGGAAAGGAGACAGGACTGAAGACAACAAAATGCCTTTCCCTGCCCGCCCACCCCTGCTGTCCTTCCAGCTAGTGCTGAACTGTTTCACACAGCTGGTGATTTCTTCCACGTTCTCTGTCAACTGAAAGCAACCTGGTCTACCATTTGAGTCATGGAAATAGAAAAGCAGACAGACACTAAAGCCAAACTTCTTTAAAATATTAAGGCAACAAATATCTAAAAATTCTAATTGGATGAACATTTATGCCAGTCTATTATGAGTGAACAGTATAGATTAGCACAAGGCAAACATTAGCTAAACTTCGTATCTTAATGGGGCATTCATTTTACATTATTTGGGCAGTCATGACCTCCAGCAATCCTAAGAAGTAATTTTTTCCCATAAAAACTAGGAGTAACTACCATATGCCTTTGGAAATTTAAAACACCAAAAAGTCCAGGAGCATCATGCATGGTACAGAAAGTATGTGAATTATTCTGTTGTAATTACCCTCAAATTACATCCAGTGCACTAGAACAATTCTTTATAAAATGTTGCTTTTGATAATGGGAATGAATAACCTTGGGTCCAGCATTTTGCTAGAGATGAAAACAAAAAAAGTTGCCAATTCCAATGCCATGTGTGTGGGGTAAAACTGTATTCCAGAGTTTTCAAGGCTGTGACTTTTATGACGCAGACAAGCCTTTCTTCTGAGGCGCCTCTGGGTAGGTGTGAAACACCAACCTTTCATTCAGTTAATAAATAATAGTCGAACACTTTTAACTGTGTGGTCCACCCAGGGACGCCTCAGATTAAGAGATGGTATTTATGCTCCTCCATACTGTAAATATAGACTATGATTTCTAAGAAATTAAAAGTGACTATAAAACGAAATAGTTCATACTACTGAGTTTTATAAGATTTAGTTATAAGCCAAATAAAATGTAGTAAACATTGATGTACAAGATAATTTCAAGTGCTATAGTGTTTAAATTAGTATTAACCTACGCATTGTCTGTCAATGGGGGCAATATCACCCCCGAACAGGTGAAAATTGGTTCTTACGCTTATGTATAAAGCACAAATACAGTACATATGCAGATAAACAGTGTATCTGTGATATTAAAATTACTTGGAGGTAATTAATTAGGGGGGAAAAAGTCCAAAAAAAGACTTTTATAGAGAGACAATAATGAACAAATCGGGAAAAACCATTTATTCCATGAAATGTGGAGACTGAGTGAAAACTGCCCTGATAAAGCCGATGGTGAGGCATAAGGAAGATGCCTGAGGCTGTGCTCTCCTGTCTGTCTCCGCCTCCACCGCCACTGCGCAGTGAGGCGCTCACGGAGCCTGAGCAAGGGCAGACTCTAGTGCTGGACCACCAGCTATGAAGCCTGGGGCAGGGAGAGCAGAATGGTGAAGGCCCACACCCATGTTCTACCTATTACCCAGGTGGAAACTCTGTCCCCAATACCATTTGTTTGTTTTTTTAAGGCCAATTAATAGCTACAACTTGAAAGGTTTTGAACCTGGATGGGGGTTCATTACACGATTCTACTTTTTTTTGCATATGCTTGAAATTTTCCATAAACACTTGTGAAAAGACCAAAATATACAGTGGTACAAATGAACTCTTTTAAGTGAAGTGAAATTTGGTACAAAGAAACCATGTTTTACAAACACTGTTCCAAGCATTTAGTACACTCAGAACTTTGATTCAATTTGTCTTTTTATTATAAACTAAATTTAAGAAATAATCCTAGTCTTCTGACTTCATTTCTCAGTTATTAAAAGGCATAAATGACATAAGTCATTATGAAAATACAAGGAAAAGTACAAGAGCTGATGTAAAATAATAAGCTTCCAGACGTCACAAGATTATAGAGTAACTGAAAAATAAAACTGGCAGATTCCAAGAGCCCAGCCCCAGCAGATGCAAGGTACAGCTGGTTTAACAAGACTGTCACGTAAGTCCATCAGATGTATACGGGAAATCGTATGTATGGTAACTAAGTCACAGCCTGAAAAGTGTATGAGGTGATTGCCTACATTTTTGTGGTCTAGAGTGATCCCTCCTTTAGTAACTTAGGATTCCCTTAACAGTTCAAAATTAAAATAATTCATCAAACAGGAGTTGTATTTATATGTAAGGTAAACCACAGGGTAATTTAAACCAAAAAGCCTAAAACGGTCCGGTCTTGACAGAGTAGGGATGACCAGTGTACACTTCAGACTTTTATCACCAATGAAAAAATAAAACATTTTTATAGACTTAAAATTGTCATTAGTGCATTTAGTTTTTGGTGAAGGAATCAAACTTTAAAAAGCCTCTACAGTAATACAATGTTAAGAGAAATAGAAATCGGCCATGTACTGAGGTCACTGTAGTGAGCTACCATCATTTAGATCTAAGAAAAGTAATTTCTTCGTCCAAATCAATGAAACCTTAAAAAAGATTGTCTTTAGAGAACATTATTTGAGAACAATGCTTTTTCAGACACATTCTGATACTCAAATTCACTTTAAAACAGAACTATAGATTAACCTTTTAATTATACCTCCTAAAAAGCTGTCAGATTTCCATTCCTTCGGGAAACATTTTCACCTGTGTGTTGCTCAATTCCACAGGTTAAGGTTTCTTCACTACTAAGAATTTCATACATATTAGAGAGACTGCCATTCATTGCTTTTTCATCTTTTCGAAAAGATACAGGCAGACTTGCTAGGCTAAAACTGACATCTTTAAAGGCATGCAACAAGAATATTCCCACAATGATTGTAAAGAAGCCACTCAGAGTACCAATGACATCATCAACAGGCATATCTTGCCACTCCTTAAAGAGAATAGCTGAACAAGTTAAAACTGATGTTGTAAAGAATACGTAATATATTGGAGTCACGATTGAAGTGTTGAATATATCCAAGGCCCTATTTAAGTAATTAATCTGTGTGCTCACACAGACTATCAGGCTCAGCAGCAGAATCCAGGCCAAGGGATGCTGCAGCACAGGTTTTCCCGCAAACAGCTCTTTGATGGCAATGCCCAGGCCTTTCACACAGGAGACAGAAAATGCTCCGATTACAGAGCAGATTGTTATGTACACAAGGATGTTTGTCTGTCCATGGCGAGGTCCCACCACAAAGATTAGTATCAAAGACACAATGACCACAAGTGTTGCAAAGACCACAAAACCTGGAGGAGGCAAAGAAAAGTTATAGTTAGTCAAATGTTTAAGTACTAAGGAAAACTGAAAAATCCAAAATACAATAGATACTTGATAGGAAAAAAGGTGTGGTCCTAAAATAAAAATCAGCTTTCCTTAGATCTTCCCTAGAAAGAAGCACACCCATGTACTGGAAGATTGAAAGGTGCTTTCATATTCACAAATTGTGACACCACTAATATTTTTAAGCAGCATCTTAGGCTAATTTGTGTTCCAGAGTATTTTGGATTGCCACCTCCCACCCACTTCAGTGTTCTAACTCCCAAGGCAGGGGACCTGTGCAATCAGAAAAGGCACAGGGACTAGTGGAGGAGATACCATATTCATCAATTTATAGGTACTTAATATAAAACCTGTTGCTGTCGAGTCAATTCCAACACATATCTAGGAGTTATAAATTAAGTTGGTCTAAAAGGAATAGATTTTAAAAATATTTAGGGACAGCCGCTGAGATAAAGAGCCAATCAATCAGAGTACCTGAGAAATAGCGTAGGCACTGTGACTGAACACAGTCAACTGGCACAGCATAGTAACAGCTGACAACTACACAGGACAGGCACTTCTCTCAGCAATCACTTAATCCTCACGACTACCCGATGATGTAGGTTCTACTGTCTGCACTTCAAGATAAGGAAAGGAGGCACAGAGAAGTCACACACATGTACTCTGTTCCCTCCACAAACTCCATGGTACGGATTGAATTGTGTTCCCCCAAAAACATATGTTGTAAATCCTAACCCCTGTACCTGTGGATGTAACCCCATTTGGGAATAAGGTTTTCTTTGTTATATTGATGAAGCCATCAGTATAGGTATGTCTTAAATGTAACCACTTTTGAGATATAAAAAAAGCAGATTAGGCACAGAAGCAAGGAAGCACAAATGGGGGAAAGACAGATGCCCTGTGGAGATCGCCAAGGAACACTAAGAGGCATGCTCAAGAGGCTGAGACAAGGGTTTTCCCCCAGAGCAGACAGAGAAACTTCTCCTAGAGCTGGCACCCTAATTTGGACTTCTACCCTCCTAACTGTAACAAAATAAATTTGTTTGTTAAAGCCACCTGCTTATGGCATTTGTTACAGTAGCACTAAGTAACTAAGGCACTCTGCTAATAAGATAATAATGGGATTTTTATAAAGAGGCAAATAATACAGAAACAGGGAAGGATATGATAGCAACAGTATTTTGGAAGTCAGAAGCAGAGGATAACTAATAACCAATTTTAAAAAAAAGTTGCCACATAATAGATTCCAACGCATGGAAATCCCATGTGTTTCAGAGTAGAAGTGTGTTCCTTAAAGTTTTCAATGGCAGTGACCTTTCAGAAATAGATCCTCAAGACTATCTTCCTAAGCACCTCTGGGAGAATTTGAACCGCCAAACTTTTGGTTAGTTATTGAGCTGTTTGAGCCACTCAGGGACTCCAGTACAGCAGATCAAAAAAAGCAGAATCCTACATCAGCAGTGATCGAAGCTTAGAAGGCAACTATATTCACAGCACAGAACCCTTGTAAGGTACACGGTGTCTTTGGAAGTGGAGGTGAAGGTGAGTCTAAAAACAGGAGAATAGGCTGGAAGTCCATGCAAACAAGGGGACCTCAGGTCCCTGCCCAGCCTGCACGTCTGGGGGACAGCCCTTGCACTGAAAGGCTCCGCACTAAACAGGGCTGGGGTAGGGTGTACTTCCATCATGCTAAGACCGTCTTCCCGACTCAATTTCCAGAATGCTGCAGTCTGGCAGGAGACTGGAAGCTTCTCTGCTAGAGATCTGAAACCAGCCCTTCTTTGAAAGATAAGAAGGTGGCCAAAAATACCCAGGCAGCTGAGCAAAGAATACCTCTAGTAAGGAAGAGGCAGGCCAAAACAAACCGAAGAGAACAAGAGCCTTGGATTCCTCCATGTAGGCAGAAGAAAGCACGAAAATACCTGCCCCCAAAATTAAGAAAAACTACCACTAATATCCTCAGAGAAACAGTGATGAAATACTAGACTAACCTTATACCCAAAGCAACCATAAACAATGGATAAACTATAAAAACAAAACAAAAAAACTGCAAACAAACAAAAATAAGCGTTCATATGAGAACATCTAAGGGCAATCAAAGCAGCCACAACTCCAGGGGACGAAACCCAGGATAGTAAAGGGAAACACTTGCCTCTGCTTTTCCCCTGAAGCAGCTGCGAATTCTACAGCAGGAAGCAGGGGGAAGCATAAAGGTCAGCAGAAAGTAGCAGCCTGGGACTTGGGGAGGTTTCAGTGGACTGGATAAAAAAAATTAGAACTTGATGGAGCAAGATCCCAGAAAGGAGGGAGCTGCAGACGAGTGAGTCCAAAATTCTGGGTGCAATTTCCCTGAAGGCATTTGTGGGCACATAAGCTGCACATGGCAAGGTTAGCAGAACCAAGTGAAAAGGGTGGTCAGGAGGCTAAAAGGCTGAGCAGAGGTTTCAGAAATAGTGTGGTACTGAAGAGACAGATGCTGGAGTTCACAGTTCACTGAGGGAGAGGTGTTCAGGTAAACATCCCAGGCTATCAGTTGAGAGCCAGAAGCGCTATGACCAAGAATAATGCTAACTGGAAAAAAGGCAGCCCCAATAAAGCTTGAAACTCGGCTTCACCTGGTTAAAGGTGATCTGCTGTATACTATCTGCCTGCCAAAGAAATTATGTTTTCTTTGAGGGAAGAAAACATCACCTTTACACTTTTTAACATACTATGTTCAGCATTTAATAAAAAATGCCAGAAGATAAAACTAAATGACTAAAAAAGAAAAAACAGATCCAGAAATAAATAATCCTGATAGTGGCACTATACAGATAAAGACTTGAAAACAACTAAAAATAAAAAAACAAAAGCAAGCTCTTAGAAATTAAAAATACTAGAAATAAAAACTTAATAGAACGGTTGGAAGCTAAAACTGAGGAAACGACCCAGAAAGCAGAGCAAAAAGGCAAAACGGAAAAATTAAGAGGAAAAAATATAAGAAAATTAATGGTCCAGTTCAGGAAGTCCAATCAACAGATGAATAAGAATTTTACAAAGAGAAAATGGAAATAATATCGGAGAAGTAATTCCCCAGAGTAGAAAAATGAATTTCCAAATTAAAAGGGCCCATCAATTACCTAGTACAAGGGATGAAAGCTGACCCACAGCTGGGCACATTAGTGGGTAATTTCAGATCCTTGGGCAAAAAGAACACCCTAATAACTTCCAAAGACAAAAGACTGGTCACATATAAAAAACAACAGCCAGTCAGTCACATTAGATTTCTCAAAGCAATACCGGAAGTGAAAAGACAGTGAGTAGATTAAAGACAATTAGAAATATGCAAGGTCTCAGAAAAGTCTTATATCCTCTGTGCACTTTCTCATCTAAGTGTGGCTTCATCAAAATGAAGGTGCAAACACAGGATTCAGAAAAAAAAAAAAAGTGAAAGGAATCTCCAAGGATGCTGATGAAGGAAAATTCTAGATGACAATGTTCTGCCAGCCTAGAAACATCACTGTAGATTGAAGCCCAAGAGAAGGCTCTGGGCAGAGATTTACACGGACAATCAAAGTGCAAAAATACCTAATGTGTTTGAAATTACCAAGAATTCAATTAGACAACATGGTGCTGTGGTGCTATAGACAGAGGTACCACGCCGTCCCTCTGCAGCAAAAACCCAAAAAACCAAGTAAAACAGATACAAACGTCAATCCTGGAAACCTAAGCATCAAATGAAGGGATAAAAAACTCAATCAAGCACCAAATGAAAGAAGAAACCAACAGAGAACAGAGACCGAGGAGAGCAACGGAGTGGAGGTACCCTGCCAGCTAACATGGCAGGGATTTGCCATCTTGGACCACAACCACAAAGGACCCCAAACAGGGAGTATGGGAATTCAACTTCACAAAGCTCCCAACAGGAGACAGAGCACATGCTCCACACATCACATCCTTCCCCTTCCCTCCTGCCTATCTGCACCACACATTGAGCGCTGTACCCCTAAGTGGCACCACTGTCGTCCCCAGCTCTGCTCCGAGAACCCCAGTTCGTGATGCAAACAACCCATTCCTATCTGCCCCACCCGTTGGACCTGCCCTGCTGCACCACAATTGAGTGACGGGCCCTGCCCACCTGGATGAGGCAGTGAAAAGTATGCCCACACATAAGCAAGCAACAAGACCAGCCTGCCTGACCAGATGTAACCAACTAAAACAAAAATGTAGGACGAAACAAACAAACCTACAATGAGTAAACGAAGAAAACAATTTCTGAATGTCCCAGAGACAGGAGACATATCAAAACACATTAAAAAAACAGGACAGGATGGCTCCTGTAAGCAACCAAAATAAAACCCCAGATGACCTTCTGGTAGAAGAAAAGGCACTGGAACTACCTGATAGGGATTCCAGTAGATTAAGAAAGAGATGAAGGAAAATACCGACAAAATCAGGGAGAACACTGACAAAGCAATGGAAGAATTCAGGAAAATAATACAGGAACAAAACCTCAAAAGAAATCACACAAAAACAGCAATTAGAAATCTAAGATAAACAACAAGATTTCAGAAATGGACAATGCAATAAAAGGTTTTAGGTGCAAACTTGAAACAATGGAAGACAGACAGTGAAACTGAAGACAAATCCCTGGATATCATTTTGTTGAAGGAAAAAAGACAGAAGTATGAAGAAAAATGAAGAAAACCTGAGAACTATGTGGAATAAAATCAAGAGCAAAAATTTGCGTGTGACTGGAGTTCCAGAATGAGGGGAGAAAACAGAAAAACAAGGAGAGGATCATTGAAGATTTGCTTACAGAAAACTTCCCTAATATCATGAAAGATGAAAAGCTGACCATTCAAGAAGCTCAATGAACCCCATACAGGATAAGACCCCAAAACAAAGTGAACAAGACATATCACAATCACACTTGCCAAAACCAATGACAAAGACAGACTCCTCAGAGCAGCTTGAGAAAAACAAA